CTATTCATAATGGTACACTATGTTCTCATGATACACAAAGCTATAATATTCAGTTGATGAACATGCACATGCTGACATGTCACCCCAATGTTGGGATTCTAGAAGCAAGAAATTGTAACTTTTAATAAACCTAGCTTATTAACTCCAGTTTTTAAAGTATGTAAAATGTTGTCTGTCTGGGGCGTGAATAACACAGGAAACTGAACTGGTCCAGTAGAGGAAATAATCCGGCAATGTGCTTATGATCAACTGAATATTTTGATTTCAAAAGTCATGCCAATACAGTTACTGATTGAGCTAAGCTGTGGTATGTTTTAATTATGATTTACTAACTCCAATTAGCTAAGTCTGTGCAATCTGCTATGCCATAAAACTTGATTTATGAATCACAATGGCCAGGTTCACATAGCACATAGCACCAAGCCACCTAAAAGCTGAGCATGATTTGTCTGTCTTTGGTACACTGCTCTTGCTCACAAATTCAAGAGCTACTAAAACAGACTTTTTAAAAATTAGATATACCTTCAACCTGCTCATATAAAATGGAATCTTTTGTTGCACTCCAATGGATGGATGGATGGATGGATGGATGGATGGATATATGGATAGAGATACGGCTATAGCGAGGTAGAGATAAAGGTAGAGATATTTGGTTCCCCCCTCCCATATGCAGAACTGAAAGTAAGCAAAGAAAATGCTCCAGTGATATAACTTTAGGATGTGCCCATTCATGACAATGAACAATATGTACTGAGATGACCAGAAGAGACCAGGTTCCAACAATGGGGGTGTGTGAATTTCTGTTTGCTGTGCCAAGCCATTTAATTGTTAGTGAGGGCTAAGAGGATCTTTGTCAGGCAAGAACTGTATGATTCAGAACTCTGGTAACTACAAAGAACATGTGGCACAACAGTCAACCTTTTTTCAACAAAGACCACACTTTCAGCGTATTCCTTCTCTTCTTTTTTTGCCCAAGAGTTGCAAGGGACCTAACAGTGATATTGCCAGGGGGAGCAGAATTGTTTGTTTTGTCTTTTAGCAAAGTAGGTGTGTCAAGCCTATCAGACTTTTGGCATGCTTATTTTGTTCCCTATTTAATAAAGGAAAAAACAGTGCCACAATAATTTCATCAGTTGGCTTTCAACACTTGTATGGGAACCATTCTGGGCTTACAAGATCATTCCAACCTTCCTTGTTCAGACATTTAAAAATAGGATCCTATATTAATATAGCCTTCCCCAATATGGCTAGAGGGGAATTCTGGGGGCTGCATGTCACACACTTGGATGACACCAGCTGAGAAGGCTATAACACTTTCAGAAATAAAATCAATACAAAAATTCTGACTTTTGGGCAATAAATGGCTAACTGAAGATGGCTTGGCTAAAAGCAGAGCTGACAACCACAGTGGAATGAAGAGCCGGCGAGCAGACCGGCTCTTTGCAATTCCTCTCTGGATAAGGAGAGGACTTGAGATTGTCCACAAGTGCTCCAGACAGTTGCTCTTTGCAAGGAGACTGCAAGACAGCAGTCTTCGGCAGGTTTAGAGCTCTGGAAGATGAAGGGAAACCATCTTGCTGAAACTGCAGTCAGCGCCTTCAGAAAGGATACTGGGTTTGCATACTTCCTTTTCTAATCACTTTTGGATATTGCTTGTTAACTGCTTGTCAGCTATTAGGAACCTTTGAATTGACAAGTTTTACAGCACTAGGTGAGTTTCCTTCAATCCTTAGCAAAAAAAAGTTTCAAATATAAGTTTAAGGTCTTTAAAAACATTCTTTTGGAAAAAACAGCAGAAGGGTAATTAGAACTTTGATTTTGGAAAGTTACAAACGGGATAAGGGACCAGATGGATTTGAAATTTTAAAACATATTTTAAATTTAAACATTTAAAAACATATTATTTAGTACACAAATAAGCCCCAATGGCTGCATTTATAGAATATGCTAAGCCAAAATCAAACCACATTGTTTGCGTGAAGCCAATTCTTTCCTTCCCCCCACCCCAGGGTTAAAAATGAGGAATGATTGATTATGTGCTATCAATTTGATATCACCTGTTAGCGACCACATGCATAGATTTTCTTCAGAAGGGTCTGTTTCCAACCAGGTCCTTCAGGTCTTCCAATGATGCATCCATTACTGCTATAACTAAGTCCATCTAACTTGCTGCTGGTCATCCTTCTCTTTTCTTTCCTTCCACCTTTCCCAACACTATAAACTTTTCAAGGGAGATAGGAATTCATTTAATGTCTCCAAAATGTGATAATTTGAGTCTGGTCATTTGAACCTCAAGTGAGAATTCTGGATTGATTTGTTTGTTTTTCTCACTATCCATGGTCATCTCAGGAGTCTTCTCTGACATCAAGGTTCAAAAGCATCAATACTCTTCCTATCTTACTGCTTCAAAGTCTAAAACATAAAGAATTGCAATTACAGAAAAAAAAAGTTTATGGGGAAGCATCCCTTGTGTCCAAAATCATTACCAGATAGGTTATTGTTAAATATATTTAACACAGCACAGCACAGCCTCCAACTTTATATAATATTGACCATTGCCCCATTAGTGACTTAGGGCTCTTCCTGGCCATATTACAGTGCATTCCTGCACTTCCTGAATCAGAAAAGTACTGTATGGCAGCATAATTTATGCTACCACAACAACAGAGTGCTAATTTGCTTCAGCAATACACCTTACAAGTGGCCTGTTACTAGGAGATTGGATAAACTACCACAATTTGCTCATTTAAAGTGTGGAAAAGCAGTCCTGGGGCAGAGATGCCTTGTGCTCATCATCTGTCAACTGAGCTATTTCTGAACGCAGGTCTGCCAATCTTCTGGTAGACCTGTTTTCAGAATATCCTGGGTGACAGGTTGGTGGGTGGAAGAAAAATATGGGATGAAGCAGGAGGCCACTCGTGAAGCGCTGCAAGAGTTCCCTCTCTCTTCATCCCAGACCCATCCTCATTGTCAGTTGGGCTATTTTGGAACACAGGTTTAATAGTCACTTGAGTTAAAAGGGGACACTGGCAGAACTCTTATCAATTTCACCCCAACTCCCTAATATTCCAAACTGGTAAGTCTTGCAAGGGAAAGGCAGTGCTGGCAGCCAAGGGCCACGGTCAGCAGCACCCAGAAATATCCTACAGAGCAGGCAAAACAGCATTGCCTTCCTTCAACATAATACAAGCAGTAGGAGAGGATCTCCACCCAAGTCATCTTGTCAGTAAAAGCAGCTGAAAACCCAGCAATGCACTTATTTGGGACAGAACCAGTGACACATCTCCTTTCCAGTTTAAACTGACCAGCAGCCCTTTTGTTACAGTCAGGTTTACTGGTCTTTTGAAAAATTGTAAAACACATGCTTAGCAACAAGTCTAGCAGTCTTCCAGAAGAGCAGTATGCCAATATATACTGCATGTCTGATGGGCGCATTGTGAAGCATAAGTCAGAAATTAAGTGGACAGATGCTTCAGTGGAAATCGGGGGTCCAGTCTCTTCTGAATCCCAAGCCAAAATGGAGGGCAATGACAGCCTCAGTCAGCCGATAAGTGCTCAGGAGATGCCAGCTCTTGACCAAGATGGTGAATGAGGTATTGTACATCCTGTGGACACCAAGACTTGGGTTGGCAGGAGATAGAAAACACTACTATAAAATGGGAGCAGCTCAAGATGAATTTGGCTTGCCTTTGTGGTGGGCTGGGGATGAGACAAAGGCTGGGGCATGAGGCTATGTCCTCTAAATATGGTTAGGTCAGGTAAACGTGAGAAAAACTCTAATGATGGTTAGATGACCCCAGAATATGCAGTAAGGTATAAGTGGGAAAATCACCATTGGAAAGGAAAAGGCATTTTTTAAACAGGAGATTCCAGGTTCACAATTACATAAGGTATACTGCCTGTGTTTGCATGACACACTTATCCATGATAACTATGATTTATTTAACCATTTTTTCTGGGTTTTCAGGACACACAGAACCATAAGCTAAACCCATGATTATGCCAGGTTTGCATAAATATGGTTGCCTAGTTTGTGGTGAAGCGTGATGCCGGTGGCCCATCTTTGCTCTGGCTCCCCCAAATCACGACTCCACCGCTCCCGATTTTAGAGCGTCGCTTCCTTCCCCATCCAGATCTCAGATGGTTAATTGAGGTAGTTTGCTACCGAGAATCCCTAAGGAGCCCATTTCTGCAAGGGGGAAATGACATCGATTTCACCCCGGGAAGGGAAACGCGATGTGGAATCGCACAAACGCAGCCGTTGAGCAAATTCAAAAGTGGACGAGTTGCCGCGCTTGAGATTTTTTTTTTTTAAATCAAACCCGGAGAAAACAAACGAATATAGACCCACTCTCGTCCGTCCCACTGTCCCTATCGCAGTTAAGGCATCATTATCATTATTTGTTCCTGAAGACACGCTTTCTTTCCCAACGATTCTAAGAGTTATATTGCGTTTAACTGAAACTGAGCGGGTTTTTCGCGCTTTCCTCCTCCTCTCCTTCGCCTTGTTGCCGCGACCGACTGAGACAAATTCCACCTCTCGCCAGCGCGCACTCCAAGGAGCTCCAGAAAGTTTGCATCAGCCTGTTCTCCCCCAGGGCGCTGAAATCCTCGCTCTCCGCCGCCTGTACATCCCCCAACGGGAGCCGCAGCTGGAGCGAGCCTGGCTCAGCCGAGCGGCCTCGGCGCCGCCTTCGCGATTGTGCCTCGGCATGTGAACAGGATCCCATTTCAAGAGGCTCCTCCGCTGCGCCTGCGACTAAGGTGGCTCGCGAGGACACCTCTCGCTCTCCCCGCCTTTCCCCCTCCCCATGTGATCCGACCCCCCTCCCCTCGCCCGCTCCCTCCCTCCTCCCCTGGACTTTCCTATGAGGTCACCAGCTGCTTCCTGGCTCCTCCCCTCTGCATCCCCTGGCTGTTGCGGGCCGTGGCTCCGCCTCCCCTGTAGAGAGTCCGCTCCTCGCGTTCATTTCATTCCTCTTCTCATTCCGAACATTCTTAGCATCGCTCGCGCTGCACAAGCCCATTCGAAAGCCCAGCCCGCCCTGCCACCACCGGTTTGGGGGCAGTAACTAATCACTTGAAGGGCTTCAATAATCCCGCAAGCCAACAAGCTGTAGAGCCCAAGACGCACACACACAGTAATTTTTTAAGGGAAAAAAATAACATCAAAAACAACAACAAGCAAAACACGAAGGCTAGACATTAAGCAAGCCAAAAGTCCCCAGGGGAAGCTGGAAGAAGTTTGAAATTGATTTGCAAAAAAGGCTGGTGGTGTTTGCAAAGGTGGGGAGTGGAGTGGAGGTAAGTTTTGTGCGTGTGCGTGGAGGGGCGAGTGGAGGCTGGAGGGAGCAGCTTCTTTTTACGGTTCGCTTTGCTTTGTGTGGCAGGGAACGGTGGGGGGGCCGGTCCTCTGTTATTTACTTGGGAGAATCGTGTCGATTGCCCCCCTCTTTTCACGCCCCCCTTCTCAGTCTCCGCAGGTGAACAGTGGGGAGATGAGTTGGGGAAAAGCGAAAATCAGGCAAAGTAGCCTTGGGAGAGAGGGGAGGGGGAGGCAAAGCTGTTTCCAGCGGAGTTTAGCCTGATTTGGGTATTTAGCCAGAGCTGCAACAGGCGGCCGCCGTTCCTCTCGCCCTCTGCGCCTTATTGCTGTTGCTGCTTTAATTTAGTTGCCTGAGTCACTGCTTTGCAGCCTGGCGCGCGCGCGCACTCTCTCCCTCGCGCACACACAGACACGCAGACTCCCGCGCGCGCACACACACAAATCTTTGGCATTTTTCACATTTTTCGTCGAGAAGGAATAACTTGGGAGCAGATCAGGCCTTGCATAGTAAAATGAACCCATCCCTTGAGTTTCTCGTCCTAGCGCTGAGCTTTGGAAAGTGGCTGGATCGGAGATTTAGCTGGCAGTTAGAGCTTTGAGGTTTTGTTTTTCCTTTTTGCCTTTCTCCCCTTTCTATCCCTCCTTAAAGA